GATTCATTTCATGAATACATTCAGCAGGTCTCTTAATGCCGTTTTATCATTTATACAAACAAAATCAGCCTTTCTCTACATTATGAAAGAAGTCCACTGAGTTCAGAAGAGAGCAGCAGTTATTATCCGTGGCCCTGATCCTTTGGCTTTTTCAGACAGGCACATTTGGTGACACTTTCCTTGACACACGTGACTCGAGCTTCCGATATCAGCAGAAAGCAGAGAAACTTCAAGTAAGACTGTGAAGATGATGTTAGAAAAAGATGCTGCATCCTTAGTTCATTTACACACAAATTAGTCTTTTACATCCAGCTTCCCAGAACAAAAACTCCTGCTTTAATCAGCTGTGCCCATGTGAGAATAGCATAGAGGGCAGGTGGATGCACCCTTACCTGCATGGTCCCAGGCAGCACCTTCACTCAAACCTAACAATGAGAAGGTGTGTGAAACAAACCGCCTCCTGCCGTGTTGCACATGTGAGAAAAGACGACTTTCACAAAGGCTCCGATGTGAGTCCAGAGTTCACATGTGAAGACATCTTTAGTCATGAGTGAGATTTCAGTGTGAGACTCTCAGAGCGTAGATTCGTTTTTGTAGTGAAAGCTGTTACAGCTATGCAAATTCTAGGTCAGGTTCCAGTTCTTTTTCTACGTCTATCCAGGACCGTTTCTTTGCGCTGGGGAAGTCTTTTCCTAAAGCACCGCGTGTTAAAGGCCTCGACGTCTTGGTGGTAGGGCTTTCAGTTGCCTTAGCGGAGGGATTGCATTTAAGTTTCTTAGAACTGGATCTGAGGGGACTACTCGCAGGACGCTTAACTGGTGCCGACCTTCTTTTCGGAGGCCTTCCTCTGGGTCGCCTGACTGGCACAGGATTATCTGCTACTTTACCGACATTGCCCGCGAGGTCCTCAGCTTCCTTCTTGGTCTCTTCCAAAGTAAATTTTTTACTTTGTTTCTCTTCGAGCAGCACAGATATTTCACCTTTGCCGACACATTTATTGGTCTCCTCTATCACACTACACGTTTCCTTTTCACCCACAGCAGTACTTGCGGGGTTCCTTCGAGGCCTGCCCCTGCCTCGACGGGCTTCTGGAAGGCTTGGATCGGCCTCGGACTTGACAGAACACACGCGATTAAACCTCAAGTGGGCAGCTGGAAAAGTTGTGCTCATGCCTGCACCTGTGCTGCCATCACTGTTGTTTTCTGTAGCTTTAAGATCCACTGAAGGCACAAACATTGATTTGTTAAGGGTGGCAAGCTCAGCCTGGGGGGAAATTACACCCGAAACCTTCGAATCGGAATCTGAAGATGCCGTTTTGCTCTCCAGGTTATGCCCAGTTTCCAAATCCAAAGGCAGGTCTGATGCAGACATGGTAGCGTCTAATGGCTCAAACAGCTTCATCTTAGCTGAAGAGCTAGCATCACCCTCCTCTTCATTCTTCCTGGGTTTCATGACCATGAGTGTATAGAAGCCTTGGCCAACTGTAAGATAAAAAAGTACACAAACATATGCAATAATATTATAGTAACACATTTAAATGGAAGATAATTTAAATTTGGTGTATTAACTGATCAACGTGCTTACTTGGTTTCAGACATGAGGGAAGTATGAGCCTGCCAGTCTTGGAGCGAATAAGAGGAAGAGCCAGAGGCTTTGGAGTGTGAACCTTGGTGCTGGTGCAGTTAGCTGTTGGGGATACAGGTGAGGCTCCTTCTTTGGCTGTGGGGGCCTGAGGTGAAGCTTTACCGGGCGGGTCTCGAGACTGCTGATCTGTTTGGGAACTGGAAATGTGGGAACCAGCAGCCTGGTCTGGCTCTCCAGAAGCTTTCTGTTTGACTTCTAAGTTTGATGGAGACTTTTTCTCTTGGACTGAGGCCACATGGTCACCTTG